AAACACAAAACACAAAACATCCCAAAATTGAAATGTCCATGTTTTGAGAATTAAAGTAAATGCAAAATATGTCCAGGCTGCTCAGGTGCATGGCATGAAAATGACCATTACTCATCTGTTACCTTACCTGTACCCAACTCTACAGGGCAACATGTGCTGCTCATTCTTGCGTGCTGACAAAACAGATTAATCCCACCTATTTTGATAGAACACCAGGATTATTTGAATATCACTGATAGATTGAAACAAAGGGAAGTAACTTTATGAAATGAAAATATGTAGACCCCCTCATTCTAACAGTCAAGACATACATGTGTATTCACTTTCATGATGCTATAAAGCAAAAAATAAATGTTTTCTTTAATCATGTGGAACTCGTAAAGAAAGGAGACATGAGAAGCACTAAGCAATGTTAACAATTCATTTACATGTTGATTTCTTTTTCTCAGCTTTATTTATAGCCCCCATAACTTGATTATTTATTACCCTTCCTTTCACCATTAGGACAGGCTTGACACAACTTCCAAGATGAATGTTATCTTAAAAGATAGGAAAATCAGTATGGAAATCAGTTGCCATGGCAATAGAAAGATTTGTATGACAATTAATTGTAGTTGTAATTAATCTGTATTAAGTGGAGGTAATCAGGGGTAAGTTTACTGGAGCAACAGTCATATTATGGGAGGATGAGATGTATAGCTACAGAAGGTTTGTAATGAAAAAGGGTAAATGATGTGAACATCTTCAATATGTATAAATATATAATTCTAAAATGTCAGAAACTTTGAAATTCAATTTCTCCTGTGCTTTTTTTTTACCTTCAACACTTTTAGTATTAAAATTCAAAATTAGATAGTCAGCAAAGAAACACAAAATTCTTTTTTTAATCTTTTCGTTGCATTGAAGTTATATTCCAAAATTTACGAATATTATTTGTTACAAAATGGGTTCTATTTGACAGAAGACTGGTTAATTGTGTTTTGGCAGTAAAAATCAGCATTGCTTCCCTGTAAAATGCTTATTTTTGACAATAGGAGTTTTGTTAGACAGTTGACTGATCATGTTTGACAGTAGGAGGTATATTTGACAGTTGACTGATCATGTTTGTCTGTAGGAGGTATATTTGACAGTTGACTGATCATGTTTGTCTGTAGGAGGTATATTTGACAGTTGACTGATCATGTCTGTCTGTAGGAGGTATATTTGACAGTTGACTGATCATGTTTGTCTGTAGGAGGTATATTTGACAGTTGACTGATCATGTCTGTCTGTAGGAGGTATATTTGACAGTTGACTGATCATGTCTGTCTGTAGGAGGTATATTTGACAGTTGACTGATCATGTTTGTCTGTAGGAGGTATATTTGACAGTTGACTGATCATGTTTGTCTGTAGGAGGTATATTTGACAGTTGACTGATCATGTTTGTCTGTAGGAGGTATATTTGACAGTTGACTGATCATGTTTGTCTGTAGGAGGTATATTTGACAGTTGACTGATCATGTTTGTCTGGAGGAGGTATATTTGACAGTTGACTGATCATGTTTGTCTGTAGGAGGTATATTTGACAGTTGACTGATCATGTTTGTCTGTAGGAGGTATATTTGACAGTTGAATGGTTATATTTTGCAACAGGAGTGAAGTTTGGCAAAAGGTGTGAATATTGCTCGACAACAGACTTACCAGGTTTTTATGTTTGATAACAGACTGGTTATGTTCAACAGCAAACTTGCCAGGTAATGTTTGACAGCAGAGCAACCAGGTTGTGTTTGACAGCAAACATGCCAGGTTATGTTTGACAGCAGACTAATCAGATTATATTTGTTAGCAAACTTGCCAGGTTACGTTTGACGGCAGACTAACAACATTATGCTTGACAGCAAACTTGTCAGTTTATGGTTGACAACACACAAACCAGGTTATATTTGTTAGCAAACTTGCAAACTTGCCAGGTCACGTTTGACGGCAGACTAACAACATTATGCTTGACAGCAAACTTGTCAGTTTATGGTTGACAACACACAAACCAGGTTATATTTGTTAGCAAACATGCCAGGTTATGTTTGACAGCAGACTAATCAGATTATATTTGTTAGCAAACTTGCCAGGTTACGTTTGACGGCAGACTAACAACATTATGCTTGACAGCAAACTTGTCAGTTTATGGTTGACAACACACAAACCAGGTTATGTTTGATAAGCTGTATTTGACAGTAGATATGTTATGTTGGACAGTTATGATTGACAGGTTACTTGTGAGAGTAGAAGATGAGTTGTGTGTAACAGGTGATCAGTTATGTTGTAGTTAGGAGGTTACAGGTATAGTTATGTTGTAGTTAGGAGGTTACAGGTATAGTTATGTTGTCAGTTAGGAGGTTACAGGTATAGTTATGGTATAGTTATGTTGTAGTTAGGAGGTTACATGTATAGTTATGTTGTCAGTTAGGAGGTTACAGGTATAGTTATGTTGTAGTTAGGAGGTTACAGGTATAGTATGTTGTAGTTAGGAGGTTACAGGTATAGTTATGTTGTAGTTAGGAGGTTACAGGTATAGTTATGTTGTAGTTAGGAGGTTACAGGTATAGTATGTTGTAGTTAGGAGGTTACAGGTATAGTATGTTGCAGTAAGGAGGTTACAGGTATAGTTATGTTGTAGTTAGAAGGTTACAGGTATTGTTATGTTGTATTTAGGAGGTTACAGGTATAGTTATGTTGTAGTTAGGAGGTTACATGTATAGTTATATTGTAGTTAGGAGGTTACAGGTATAGTTATGTTGTAGTTAGGAGGTTACAGGTATAGTTATGTTGTAGTTAGGAGGTTACAGGTATAGTTATGTTGTAGTTAGGAGGTTACAGGTATAGTTATGTTGTAGTTAGGAGGTTACAGGTATAGTATGTTGTAGTTAGGAGGTTACAGGTATAGTTATATTGTAGTTAGGAGGTTACAGGTATAGTTATGTTGTCAGTTAGGAGGTTACAGGTATAGTTATGTTGTATTTAGGAGGTTACAGGTATAGTTATGTTGTAGTTAGGAGGTTACAGGTATAGTATGTTGTAGTTAGGAGGTTACAGGTATAGTTATGTAGGAGGTTACAGGTATAGTTATGTTGTAGTTAGGAGGTTACAGGTATAGTTATGTTGTAGTTATGTTGTAGTTAGGAGGTTACAGGTATAGTTATGTTGTAGTTAGGAGGTTACAGGTATAGTTATGTTGTATAGTTACAGGTATGTTGTAGTTAGGAGGTTACAGGTATAGTTATGTTGTAGTTAGGAGGTTACAGGTATAGTTATGTTGTAGTTAGGAGGTTACAGGTATAGTATGTTGTAGTTAGGAGGTTACAGGTATAGTTATGTTGTAGTTAGGAGGTTACAGGTATAGTATGTTGTAGTTAGGAGGTTACAGGTATAGTTATGTTGTCAGTTAGGAGGTTACAGGTATAGTATGTTGTAGTTAGGAGGTTACAGGTATAGTTATGTTGTAGTTAGGAGGTTACATGTATAGTTATGTTGTAGTTAGGAGGTTACATGTATAGTTATGTTGTCAGTTAGGAGGTTACAGGTATAGTTATGTTGTAGTTAGGAGGTTACAGGTATAGTTATGTTGTAGTTAGGATGTTACAGGTATACAGTTATAAGTTATAACAAATTAAGACAATCATCTGATATACAGCTTCATCCATCGAGAGAAGTTCATCTACTCTGATGGACTCATTTCCATTCTAAGACCGATGTTTTGTCGACTGAATTGTGCAATTTGTTAACTGCTGAGCTCTAGAAGAAAAAGAGAGCAGCTAGTGTTCTTACACTGTTTCAGTTTTACTTTGGGGAAATGACTCATTAGAAACAATCACACAGAACAGGAAATGAATCTTGTTCTGTAAGGCTATCCATTATTGATGATGTAAACAATTATTCACAGATAAACATTTTTCATTCAGTTTTTAATTCTGGATCTTTGGTTTGGGTGTTAATCATCCTGGATATAGCCTAATGGTTCTGTTAACACTCTAGTCTACACTGTATATTAAACATCTTAAATTGTTTTAAATGATGTACGAATCTTTCATCTTCATTTGAAACCATTCAGTGTTTTCCCTGGGGTTAGTGTACTCAGTGAAACAAGGTTTACAGATATGTGTGATTAAAGTGAATAATGGATTTCCACTTGAGTTGTTTTAGAGTACAGCTCACAGACATCTCACACTTACAATGTAATTGTCAATTAATTACTCAGCACATCAGGAAATATTGATAAATTTCTTCATTAGATTGGTTACATTCCTAATGAAAAGGCCATGCTGGCAAGTTTTTCTTTTTTTGTAAATCAAATATTTTTGTAGAAAGATATCAGATTCATTTAGTGGGAAAGAAGCATCAAATGGCTTGTGATTAGTAACATACATACCAGTTATTTATATAGAAACCAAGAATTAGACTGAAGTTTACTTTTTCGCAGGAATTGTTGAGGAAATTACAGCATTATTTGTTAATGTCTGTTCTTAATCTTTTAGCATTCAGTAATTATTTATGATTTAACTCAAGGATGCTCCGTGTTCAGATAAAGTTATCATTGATATGTCCAGTATAAACATTTTGTCTGTATACCTTGTTCAATGTGAGTCACTCTCTTCATATTGTCCTCAACCTTATGTACTCTTGAATGATCCTATTACTAGATATATATGCAGATACCAGGTAGTATATTCTCTTTGTTCGTTAAGTGCATTTCCATGGATCTAATAGGTTTCACATGTCCAACAAAGGACAATTCCACAGTGAAAAAAATATGGAAAGATTTCTTTAGAACCAAGAGATTTTCTAGAAGAACAAGTTTGAAGAGTTGTTAGTATATCTCAGCAATAATGAACTGATATTCTAGAACAGAACAAGCAGGGCACACCCCTTAGAACACTTAAAGCTGGGGATATCTCGGTAACAAACAAAAAAGGAACATTTCTAAAACACAAAAAGCAGTATAATATACTTATCTGTGTGTTTCAGATCCCTATGTGAAGTTGTGGCTAATGTATGGTACCACAAAGGTGGAAAAGAAGAAGACGTCTATAAAGATGCGGACTTTGAACCCTGTATATAATGAATCCTTCATCTATGAGATACCCTGGGAAAAGATACGTGAAGCAAGCATAGAAGTGACCGTGATGGATTTCGACAAACTTGGCCGCAATGAAATGATCGGTAAAATATTTCTAGGTAGTCGCAGTGGTCCTTTAGAGTCAAGACATTGGACTGATATGATCACAAAGCCACGACAACAGGTAGCACAGTGGCACCTTCTCAAGGATTAACCTCTTAAGGCTTTGGTGGCATTCCATGGACTACAGATCTCATGGAGTTAGTAGGCTTTTAATATGGCATTCATTGGAGCAATGGTTAACAAGAAGTCGAGGGGACACTGGCATTCTATCCAGAATGAGATGAGAACGTACATCATACACACATCTGTAACAAGTGATCTCAATTGCATGTCTCACACGAGACATTTAGTAGCACAGCAAAGGCTATCTTAGTATCCATGCAAATATTGTGGACATGTCAACCACTACAACCACTAAACAATGTGAAAACCAGTGCATTTAAAGGCGAATGTCACCTCTCAGTGTTTCCTTAACAACACAACGTCATCAACATTGGCAATCATCAAGACGCCACTAAACTTGATAATGTAGTGTCTTTATTAAAAACAAATCTATAAAATTGTCTCTTCAAGGCTGAAAAGGTTCACTGCATAAGGTCAGCTTGGTGGAGAACCTAATACCATATGGTAGCGAACAAGACAGTTATCATAAGAATACATCAAATACAGCAAGATCTCCAAGCAACAGCACATGGTGTAATGGACAGCAACAGTACATGGTGTAATGGACAGGGCAAGGATTGCCTAGCAACAGTACATGGTGTAATGGACAGGGCAAGGATTGCCTAGCAACAGTACATGGTGTAATGGACAGGGCAAGGATTGCCTAGCAACAGTACATGGTGTAGTTGACAGGGCAAGGATTGCCTAGCAACAGTACATGGTGTAGTGGACAAGGCAAGGATTGCCTAGCAACAGTACATTATGTAGTGGACAGGGCAAGGATTGCCTAGCAACAGTACATGGTGTAATGGACAGGGCAAGGATTGCCTAGCAACAGTACATGGTGTAATGGACAGGGCAAGGATTGCCTAGCAACAGTACATGGTGTAATGGACAAGGCAAGGATTGCCTAACAACTGTTCATGGTTTAGTGGACAGGGCTAAGATTGCCTAACAACTGTTCATGGTGTAGTGGACAGGGCAAGGATTGCCTAGCAACAGTACATGGTGTAGTGGACAGGGCAAGGATTGCCTAGCAACAATGCATGGTGTAGTGGACAAGGCAAGGATTGCCTAGCAACAGTGCATTGTCTAATGGACAGGGCAAGGATTGTCTAGCAACAGTACATTGTGTAGTGGACAGGGCAAGAATTGCCTAACAACTGTTCATGATTTAGTGGACAGAACAAGGATTGCCTAACAACTGATCATAGTGTAATGGACAGGGCAAGAATTGCCTAACAACTGTTCATGGTTTAGTGGATTCGACAAGGATTGCCTAACAACTGTTCATGATATAGTGGACAGAACAAGGATTGCCTAACAACTGTTCATGGTGTAGTGGACAGGGCAAGAATTGCCTAACAACTGTTCATGGTGTAGTGGACAGGGCTAGGGTTGCCTAATAACTGTTCATGGTGTAGTGGACAGGGCTAGGATTGCCTAATAACAATAAATGTTTATTGGGTATGATACTTATTGCCAAATTTGTGATGAAATGTAGATGGGAATTATTATGTAAGCAACATGTGACCTTACATGAATTTACTTAAAACATGAAAACAAGCTTTTAAAGGCAACTTGGATCTAGAGAAGTGTCTTATCAATGTAGAGGATGATTGATCTCCTGAAACCATGCCAGTGGTCAGTGATAACTGGTGCTCATTGTCAACTTCCTAGAACATCAACCTAACTCAGGTTGTTATCGTATATATCAACCTAACTCTGGTTGTTACTGTACATACCAACCTAACTCTGGTTGTTACTGTACACATCTACCTAACTCTGGTTGTTACTGTACATATCAACCTAACTCTGGTTGTTACTGTACATATCAACCTCACTCTGGTTGTTACTGTACACATCGACCTAACTCTGGTTGTTACTGTACACATCTGCCTAACACTGGTTGTTACTGTACACATCTGCCTAACACTGGTTGTTACTGTACACATCGACCTAACTCTGGTTGTTACTGTACACATCTGCCTAACACTGGTTGTTACTGTACACATCTGCCTAACTCTGGTTGTTACTGTACACATCGACCTAACTCTGGTTGTTACTGTACACATCTGCCTAACACTGGTTGTTACTGTACACATCTGCCTAACTCTGGTTGTTACTGTACACATCTGCCTAACTCTGGTTGTTACTGTACATATCAACCTAACTCTGGTTATTACAGTACATATCAACCTAACTCTGGTTGTTACCGTACACATCTGCCAAACTCTGGTTGTTACTGTACACATCAACCTAACTCTGGGTTTTACTGCACACATCTGCCTAACTGTGGTTGTTACTGTACATATCAACCTAACTCTGGTTGTTACTGTACACATCAGTCAAACTCTGGGTTTTACTGCACACATATACCTAACTCTGTTTGTTACGGTACATATCAACCTAACTCTGGTTATTACACTACACATCTGCCTAACTCTGGTTGTTACTGTACACATCTGCCTAACTCTGGTTGTTACTGTACATATCAACCTAACTCTGGTTGTTACTGTACATATCAACCTAACTCAGGTAGTTGCTGTACACATCAATCTAACTCTGGTAGTTGCTGTACACATCAATCTAACTCTGGTAGTTACTGTACATATCAACCTAACTCTGGTTATTACACTACACATCTGCCTAACTCTGGTTGTTACTGTACACATCTGCCTAACTCTGGTAGTTACTGTACATATCAACCTAACTCTGGTTATTACACTACACATCTGCCTAACTCTGGTTGTTACTGTACATATCAACCTAACTCTGGTTGTTACTGTACACATCTGCCTAACTCTGGTTGTTACTGTACATATCAACCTAACTCTGGTTGTTACTGTACATATCAACCTAACTCAGGTAGTTGCTGTACACATCAATCTAACTCAGGTAGTTGCTGTACACATCAATCTAACTCTGGTAGTTACTGTACACATCAATCTAACTCAGGTAGTTGCTGTACACATCAATCTAACTCTGGTAGTTGCTGTACACATCAATCTAACTCTGGTAGTTACTGTACATATCAACCTAACTCTGGTTATTACACTACACATCTGCCTAACTCTGGTTGTTACTGTACACATCTGCCTAACTCTGGTTGTTACTGTACATATCAACCTAACTCTGGTTGTTACTGTACATATCAACCTAACTCTGGTAGTTGCTGTACACATCAATCTAACTCTGGTAGTTGCTGTACACATCAATCTCACTCTGGTTATTACTTTGTGAACTGTGTCTCAATGTCAGTAAATACTAAATGTTGTAATGTAAAACAATCTGGAGCCATTCCACAGTGAAGTCAGGCAATGATATAATGTCTGGAATGTCAGATTCCCCATACAAATTATATATTCTGAGTAATTTTGCCATTCCTTCCTAGTAAGGGGTTACCTAACTAATACCTAATCTTGTAACTATGTATTCAGGCCTAAATCCAGAATAACACATCTTCCAACTGGAATCGGAGACATTTCTTCACTACAAAATCACAGGTCATCGCAAACCGCCACCTATAATTAAACTTGAAGGCAATATAGATCATGACAAACATATAGAAATTTTATATGTACATGTCATATGTGAATATTTCATCAGGACACAGACTGATGTAACGACTGTTTGAGGATGACAAGGACTGGGAAGTATGAGAGAGATTGTCTAGACAAGTAATCTTGTGTAATGGCTCCTTGCTGTCAGTCAGCGTCTGTATCGGCCAAAGTGACAAATGCTGTCAGTCTGTCTTTATCGACATATAACTGTCTGGACAAATGTCACTGTACAAACATAAATCAGGCTTTCTACAATTTCTTTTTTTAATAAATCAAAAGACAGTTGCTTTTGCCAAAAACTTAAAGTATTGAAATGACTTAATCAATGTCTAAGCTGATTTAGCATAAACAAAATATCGGTAATGAAGAAATATTAGATAAAATTTTATAATTAATGAAAATTTATTCACTTCCATTTTCATTAATGTCTGTAGATGATAATTCTAATGACTTACTTCAATGGGTTTTGTGTGTAGGATGGTGTATGACTTACGGAATCAATGAGGAAAAGCCTACCAAACATCATATTTTACCAAACTTGATGATTAATATGGTCATCCAAGCATCACATCGACAAAGATCCAAGAATTTAAACATCTTGTAACCTCTCCACTTAATGCATCAGAGAGTGCTGTTATTGTTTCCTATAAATTCAGTGCCAATTATTGTAATATATATATATATTATCATAATTATCAGTCGTATTTCTTTTAGCATTTAGACAATCTTGCTGTAATTATATAAAGATCAAAATTATGGATTTCATGAATATCATAATACATACACAGTGATTGGATAGATTGATGACATCATCAGAATTTATCATACAAATTGTTCTTTAGATAAAATCTTATTTACATGCTGCTGACGTAAATCAATTACACAGTATAAGTTACAAGCTTGGAATCTTACATGAAAAAGAGATAAGCAAAAATATTTAAAAAATCATCAAAAATATACCTGATTCATTGATATTTTTTCCTAGAGTTTGCTTAAAAATCAAGATTTAATCAGCATCTAATATAAACTTAGAGATCTTTAAACACAGGCTCATTGCATTATACTGGTGCACTGCTGCTCAGTCATGAACTCTATCAGGCAAACCCATTATGTAACATCTACTTATTACCTGAAAGAGCATTTATCATTTGTTGGGAACCTGATACTTCTTGTCAGTTTCTTGTTTCTTGAATAAAACAGAAATTCAGACAGGTAACATATGTTTGAATTTTGTTTTTTATATACTACTTCTTATTTGTAAACATTCCTGACATGGTGAAGTTTGACCTCCTCATGGAGAGCTTATCTATGTTTAGCCAATCAGTGTGAATGTTGAACAGTAACATGGGCTTTGATTGGTTTGAACAGTTAGCCAATCAGTGAGCTTGTTATTGATTTTTTAGACCCAGTTATCTACTTATGATTG